CGCATCCCAGTCTCGAGTTGAGTTAATGGCGTGTGAAACTGGGGTATCCATAAGAGTAGGTAACACTGGGGAAAGAGCAACTTCATATAAAGGCTTGTCACCCACCCAAATGTCCTGCCAAAACTTAATTCACTGTCCATCACCAACCCTCCATCGCAAGCCTAATTGCAAAAGATTCCTGCATTTCAAGATACTCTTCCAAGTGGCTAAAGCAGTAGATGAGATGGGGCAGTGTATCAAGGACTCACCTTTCAGATATTTAGTCGAGAGAGCCCTACACCAAGGCTTATTTTGGTTAGAGATCAATTGTCAGCCTAATTTAGAGATCAAGACCTGGTTGTTCTCCTTAGCAAAACGTAAGCCCAAGCCTCCAAGATGCCTTGGTCTACATACTATTCTCCAATTAACAAGGTGCTGTCTATTTGCAACATCAAAGCCCCATAAGAACTTTCTATTCAGACTGTCGATGGCTGCACAGACGCCATTTGGCAACAAAATGGACTGCATTGTATAGGAGGGAATGGCCAAAGTCACAGCTTGGACTAAAACTCTTCTTCCTACCATGCTTAGCAAAGTCTGTTTCCAGCCAGCCAATTTCACTTGAATTTTTTCCAAGAGAAGTTTGTAGGTAGAAGCTGAAGGCCGGCCATGCAGAATTGGGACTCCCAAATAACTACCCAAGTCTATTGTTAGGGGAATACCACAAGCTGCACTTAGATTTCCAGCAACATGCCTTTGTATGTTTGGAGAAACATATAACTTGGACTTGGTTAAGTTGATATCAACCCCTGACTCATTAGAGAATTCAGTAAGGCAACCCATGATTACTTCAACCTGTTGGTTAGAAGCCTCACTGAAGAGCATGAGATCATCGGAAAAAAACAGGTGTGAGAGAGCAAATCCTCCTCTGGATAGCCGAAATGGCTTCCATGCCTTGGAGTGCACCTTGCTTTGTATCTTGTGAGATAGCCTTTCCATGCACATGATGAACAAATAAGGGGAAAGTGGGTCTCCTTGCCGTAGGCCGCGTTGAGGATTAAAAGGTGGTAATTGTTCTCCATTCCAAAGGACTGAAAGTTGCAAAGAGGACACAAAGAACATAATCAACCTTATCAAAGGAGCTGGTATATTAAAGTCTTGTAGTACCAACTGGAGAAAAGTCCAATCAACGCTATCAAAAGCCTTGTGAAGATCAATTTTAAAAATCATTGCACCTTTCCTTCCTTTCATTCTACGCATTGAGTGAACTGCCTCTTGACTGAGAATAATATTGTCTGTAGTGCATCGTCCTTTGAGAAAACTGTTCTAGAATGGTCCGATTAGATGCTGCAAGTAAGGTCGTAGTCTATTCACAAGTACTTTCGAAAGTACTTTGTAGGCTACATTAAGTAAGCAAATTGGTCAAAATTTCTGGATAACATCAGGATTGTCTCCTTTTGGAATTAGGACTATATGTGCCTGCAACAAAGTAGTATCAAAGTAGTATCAAAGTAGCCATCACTCAGTGCTCTGTTGGTGAAAGAAAGTAGAGTGCCTGACACTTCTTCCCAGTGTTTTTGATAGAAAATTGGTTGAATTCCATCTGGTCCTGGGCCCTTTAGACCTTTCATAGAGAATAAGACATCCCTTACCTCCTCCAATGACACCAACCGTAGCAGGGCCTCCCCATCCTCGGTTGTGAGCCTCAGTTGCCAAACTAGATAGGCGTTAATTGCAGGTGAGGTGTCTCTTTGAGAAAACAACTTCATAAAAAATTCATTTATGTGTTGCTTTAGAATAGGAGGCTCTCTTACCCAGTTACCATCCACTTTAAGAGCTGCAATCCTATTTTTGCCTCGACGGACTATTGTAGATGCATGGTAGAAGGCTGTGTTTCTATCCCCAAAAGCTATCCACTCTACGCATGATTTTTGACACCAAAACAGTTCTTCTACATGCAAAACCTGGTGATATTCCCTCAATAGCTCTGCTTCCAAGTCCTGCAAGAACCTAGAAGTGGGAAAATGGATTGAGTTCTGGATGCCCTCCAACCGACCTCGCAAATGCCTTTTACGCTAAAATAAATTCCCAAATATTTCCTTATTCCAGTTCAAGCATGCCTCCTGAATAGATTTGATGGCTGATGTTAATGATGAGCTATTTGAAGCCCATGCACTTGTAAAGGTCTGTTTAAAATCCTCATGTGTTAACCATGCAGCCTTAAATCGAATAGGTCTAGAGTTCCTGTCTTTTTGTATAAGTGTTTCCAAACATAGCAACACAGGGTGATGGTCGCTGCAAAGTCTAGGGAGATTGATCACTTTGGCCTTTGGAAGAAATTCAAGTGCCCTCAAGTTGAAGAGAGCTCTATCCAACCGTTCTCTCAACAACACTTTCCCATTCTGTTTACGTAACCAAGTGTATTTGCATCCCAAAGGTTCTGTAGAATGGAGACCACAACTTGAGAGCCTATCCCGGAAGCATTGAGCTCTCACAAAACCCCTTGCGGCTCTTGGGGATGCTTCCTCAACTAAGAGGATATCGTTGAAGTCACCCATTACCACCCAATTGTCATCGACATGTTGGGCAAGGGCATGAAGTTGGTCCCAACATATATCCTTCATAGCCACATGTGGCTGTATATATACAAAGGTTACTAAGCAAGTAACTTGATGTTGAGCTAGAACACAATGAATGAATTGTGAAGAACTGTGCAAAATCTCCAATCTCATAGAATTGGAACACCAAAATAACCAAAGGCCACCGGCCCTTCCCTGTGAGGGAACTTGATAGTCTTTATCAAACCCAAATCTCCGTAGAAACTTCATTGCGTTAGGAGCTGAATTTGTTTTAGTTTCCAGAAAACATATAACATCTGGGTGGTTCATTTTAATTAGTTCTCGACACTCTCGTTGAAAGAGGGCGTGTTGCACCCCTCTGCTGTTCCATGTTACGATCTTCATTTAGACGGTGCAAGAGACAGGGCAACTGAATCCTGGATTGTCGCCAGAGAAGGTACTTTATCCATTGGCTGAGGAGTACTCATGATCCATAGATTCAAATCAGATGATGAGGCCGGGGGTGGGTTCTCTGCATGGAGTATGTTTAGTGCTGTTGACTCCCGAGGGGGTTTTGTTGAGGGGGCATGGATTGAAGGTAGAATCTGTGGTGTGGAGGTAGTGTGGGGCATTGGTAGTGGGGTTGGAGGTACAACTTGAGTAATGGGAGCCGTTGGAGTACCTTCTGTTGCTGGCGGGATAGCTGGAGGCACAAGAGAGTGGTCCAAGTGCTTCTTAGAGACTGGTGGTGGGTCATAAGGCTTATGGGCACTAGGCTTGGTGTCTTTGGGAATGGGACCTGATGTCTTGGACTTTCTCTTGGTAGACTTTGGCTTGGGCTTAATAAAGGAAGTATCTGGAGCTGCCGGTGGAATTGTCTGAAGAGGGAGTGTCTTACCCGCCTCTTGCTGGATTAGGCCGGATGGCTGGGCTTCTTAGGTAATGGAAGGAATAATGGCCATTGCTGCTGAACATCCATTTAAATTGACAGAGGTTCCCGCTTCTACCTCTTCCTTTCCTTAAGTTACGCCTATGAGTTAGGTTTCCTCTTCCATCAAATCTTCAGTATTTAGTGACACTGTTGCTTTGATGGCGTTCTGTAACATCAGCGTATATGGAAAGTCGAATAATCTCGCTAACCTTATTTTGTATCCTAACAGCTTCAGTGATATTGTCCATTATGCTTTGCCTCATCTCACTTGACATCAACATTCAAAATTGTTTGGTCTAGTTGTCCTACGAGACAAGAAACAAAACTTGTTGTGATAGGGAACTTTTTTCGATCCTAAAATCGTTGGGAGTTGATTTATCTGTTCTGACCCGCATATAAACCACACCTATACCTTGGAATCCCACGAGCACTCGATAATCTTAGTAGAATATGAACAAGGATCCGAACCATCTACAATTATTGTTTGAGAATTTAGATTCAAAAGAAGTTAAAGACTACCAAAAAAAAAAAAAAATTCTAGCAACAGCCTAAGCAATTGTGAATAATTGAATATCATGGGTTGCATTTTTTAGCTTTAATCTCTTATTTTAGTATTGACTCTTGATTTTATTGCTATTTGAATGGATATGATATATTTTTAATTAATTTTATATAATTTTCATTTTTTATGCAAAAAAAGAACTTAAATTCATAATAATAAAAATTTCTAAACTTAATTGAATATCTTTGAAAGTTTAGACTACACAGGCTGCTTGTAGGGATCTAAACGAATGAATTATCAGTTATAGTACCGAAGTGCTCATTATATAGAAGATTGAGGACCAGAATGCCATTTTACCGTTGAATAAATTGCGAAAAGAACCACAAACCCGACACGGGTTTGGTGTCGACACTACTCCGGACCTGTGGAGACTATGCGTTAAGCCTTATGGAAGAAAGAAAGATGCGTGGAATAAACAGAAGTACCGACACCAATTTGTGATGTGGACACTTTACGCACTTTCTGCCTTTTACTAGTTTTTTCTGGTCCTACTTATTTCTTAACAGGTTTTTTAAAATGGTTTAAGTACCATTTTGGTCCCTCAACTTGTCACTTTGGTACCAAAATTGTCCCTCAGCTTTAAAAAGTACCAAAATTATTCTCAAACTTTCATTTTCGATACCAAAATGATCATTCCGTTAGTTAAATGACAGATGGCTCGTTAAAATGCCACAAAATCATTAAACTTTTTAAATCTTAATGATGTGTCAATCCAGCTAAGAAAATTTTTTATACACGTGACATATTTTTTTACCCATCATATTATCACTTTTTAACTTTCCCTTTTAATGGGCCCATGTGACTTTTTTAACTTTTCTTATTCTTTCTCTCCTCTCTTCTCTCTTCTTCTTCCTCTCCAGATCTGGGTTCTTTCAACCCAATAAGAACAATCGATGGCAATGGAATCGAAACCATGCAACATCATCTTCAACACAAATCCACACCAGAACGGAGGGTTCTCTCCACACCTTGAAACTCCCAAATCCACAAATTACATTCACATACAAATCCACAAGCAAGATTCAACAGACACCAAAATTAGGGACGATAAAGCAAACCATAACAATCCCAGCTTCGCACTTGATGCCAATCACAATTCTAAAACAACAGAAAAAACAATCCTGAGGAAATTGAAATGACAAGCTCAATGCATAACAAAACAAACCCACTGTTATCGATAGCCTTGGCGGCGTACTTGATCTGGAAAACTCTACCTCATCCTTCTTCTTTCTTCTTCTTATTCTTTCTCTTTCTCTATCTCCTCGCTTCTTCTTACTCTCTCAAACCCAGATGTGGGTTTTTCTCAAACCCAGATCTGGGTTTCATCACATTGGCAATAATCCACCGGCATCAAGCAGCGACCATCACTAGGACCATCATTGACACCGATCTGAGAGATCCTTGGTGGAACGCCACTCACACGACCTCGAACCAGCATTTCGTTCGTTGAAGAGAGGCACAAGCAATGGTTTGTTCGATGAGTATCCATAGCCGACTTCTCGAGATCTAGTAGTGAAGAGAGGCACAAGTAATGAATGGGTGAATGACTCCGACGTAGCGGAAAGGAGCTACCGGCGGCGTTGTGGTTTATTCTCGGAGAATCCACAGGCGACTCGTGGAAAGGAAGAAGAAGAGGGAAGAGAGGAGAGAGAGAAAGAATAAGAAAAGTTAAAAAAATGTCATGTGGACCCCATTAAAAGGGAAAGTAAAAAAAAAAAAAGTGATAATATGATGTGTAAAAAAATATGCCACGTGTATAAAAACATGCCATGGTAGCAAGATTTTATTTGCTGGATTTACACGTCATTAAAATTAAAAAAAAATCAATGATTTTGTGGCATCTTAACGTGCCACCTGTGCACTTAACTGATGGAAGGACCATTTTGGTACCGAAAATGAAAATTTAAGGATAATTTTAGTACCAAAGTGACAAGTTGAGGGACCAAAATGATACTTAAACCTTTTAAAATCTATAAATACTCATTCAAAAATAAATTTAAGGGTCTTTTGGGAGACCAAAAGAAAAATGATAATAAGAAATTCAATATTAGGAAAAAGGATCAAGACTAAATTTTATATTATTAAATTAATTTTATTTGTTCTTATATTTTTCTTTATGATGTTAACTTTTTTTTATATATAAAATATAATAATTATATAAAATTCATTGAAAATCAGATTTTATCTATTCAAATAGCAATAAAATTAAAGTTAAAATAAGATATTAAATTTAGTTAATTTTTATACTTAATTAATTTACAATTTTTATAAGATGATATTATCATTATATTATTTAGAATAATTAATACTTTTACTTAAATAAAATTAGCTTGTCAGAATATAATATAAAGAAATATATAGTGCAACCTCAGTTATGCCCGTTGAAGGAAACTCGGGGTGATCCAGGAAATCTCTGCTCCGAATCAGAAGAAGATAGCCATAGCAGAAATCATGTTACATGTTGATAGAACCCCACGTCAAGCCCAGCGAAAATGCCTCTAGTACCTTTATGATCCGTAACAAATGTAAATAAGTAGTAACATATCAAAATAAGAGGGCTTGGAAGTGTACCGGCTAGGGCCAATAGCTTCAAGCCTTCAAGCTCAATATTTAGTAGCAGGATGTGTTGATTGAGAAAATCATAAATCAAGTGTATAAAAAAAAATGTGAATTAAATACAAAGAAAATTATTCTATTATTGTTAATTTTCACATAATGCACAAAAAGAATTCAGCTGCTCAAATGGTATTTCATAAGCCCATGATATCATAATCTTAGGAACTTAAGCAAGCAAACCTTCATAACAATTCACAATATTTATAAACAAAATCTGAGCTATTTAAAGTTGACTTTATTTAATTGTATTGAAACCGCCTCATTTTTTTTTTTTTTGTGGAATTATCCACAGCAAAAATATGGGCACACGGATCCATGTGTATGGATCGGCAATAGCATTACATAACTAAAATGTACAATGGGAATACAATATTAATCACAAAGGGATATTAATTGCCGCTTGAGGTTAATATGTGGTGCATGCTTAATCTTTTTGGCTTCAACATGATGATTACTTAGAAATTGTAACTTCCAAACACAATCCATTCATCCACCAATATAAACCATGTAATCAGGTATAAAGTCGAACAAATATATCTAACATAACATACACCGAGGAAGTTGAAAAGACGGAAAATTTGATACAAGAAAATGAGAAGAGACAGGCAAGTACATTTGGCAAGAAAAAGGTACCTGATAGATGAAATTCTTCCCAAAACTCTTTGTTGATGAATGACTTGTTTAAAGCAGTCTCTTTTACCAGGAGGTATGTATAGTCATTTGTAGGATTCGCCAAGTTGGAACCTTAGAGGGAATGATGCTGCCTATTTCTTGACCAAATGCACGGTAATCCAGCCAAGCTGCAAATGAAGGGTGATGTTGGGGATGAATGATTACAGCAATGATACATATCAGACATTTTAAATAAGAAAAATGAAAACTATTGTCTTTGAGTTTGTAACAAGAATATGGTATTAAAGACCTTGTTTAAGAATTTTACATAGATCAGATGACCTTATTTGAACACGATTGAATTTTGTGATGTTGAGAATTGCCCTTTCGCCTTTAACATAGGACTAGTAAAACAGACTATTAAAGAATGTGCATGTGAGATGAAATCCTCGTCTAGGACAAGAAAATTGATGCTGCTAAAGGGGCTGTTTGTTTTAGAGTATTAAAAATAATTATCAACTCTTAATTCAAATCAAATTAATTAAATATTTTAAATTATAAATAATAATAATTATCAATCATTAAATATTTATTATCAACTATCAAGTGCATTTTAACCGTTAATCTAAATATCCAAAACACTGCATTGTCCTTACAGACGAACCAATTGTTAAAAGCCCCTCTTGTGCCGATCGAGCTAGATCAAAGAGTCCAGGCCCTCGGCCCAAAAAAAATACATGGCCAAGGCCCAAGCATTTATTCCGCCTTAGGTCCTAATGTTCTTGCTTGTGGCTTCCCCCACCACAAAGTCCTGTTCTTTTGGAATTCCACTTTTGTCCGCTTCAATTTACTTGTCGCAATTTTTCATTTTAAAATAAACTATTATTAAACTTTTTTTTTTTTTTTAATTTAGATTTCCTAATTATTTGTTAAACTTTCCAACTTTCTTTAGTTTTCTATTAAAATTTAACAGCGAAAAGCGGCTAAATTTTAACTCATAATAATTGTATTTTTATAAATTTTTACAATATTCTTTATAATTATGTTTTAAAAAATATAATAAATATTAATAATTTGTTGATACCAAAGTTGTCAATACCATATCACTATGCATACTGATTTTGTTATTGAAATGATACGTACCCGATATTGAAATTTTTCGCATACCATTTTAGATTTATTACTATAAATATATATTTTTATAAATTAAATATCAAATTTTAAAATAAAATAAGATATACTAACCATTATATTCCTATAAATTGAAAACAAGTTTAAAATGATCATTTTTAGTTCCTCAACTTCTAATATATGTATATTTTTCATTCATCCACTTTAAGTTTAGGGATTAAAAATATGTATATTTAAACAAATTTAACAAAGTAATTGATAGAAAGACTAAAAAAAATACATTTTTCATAGTTGATGGATTAAAAAAGTATATAAAAAAGTTAAAAGATGAAAATTATGTAAAATATTAAAGTTGAGGACCAAAAATGAAATTTACTCTTTTTAAATTTGAATGAGTTTTATCGGTGAATTTTTATGTATCGGCCGGTATGTCGAAATATCGGTCGATATATCAAAATTTAACCAAAATGGATGAAATTTAACCAAAATAAAATTAGGCTATGTTTCATTTTGGTTTAGTGTAAAAATCATATGTACCCATTGTACCAATCGATACAGTACGATACGATAATGATAACACTGGTTGATACAAATAAAAAGAATTTAATTTTTTAAAATAATATTTTAAATTTAAATTTTATAAATAAAAAAAATAAATACCGAAAAAATTTATTCTTATGTGGTTTAATATGATTCATTTTCAACTTAAACAAGTTTTAATGTGTAAATAAAAAAAAAAATTCTAGGGAAAAGAACTCAGACTTTTCCTCTCTTTTTAAGGAAAAAAAACAAACTCTTGACTTTTTTGTTTGGATTACATCCCTCCACAAAAAATGATATTGACAGGGGGACTGCACAGAGTACAGAGTAACGACCGACTGCAGATTAAATTCCTCCAAATATTCTCATTTCGTTTTTCTCATCAAGAAACATGTCAAAGTTCAAACCTTGAATACCTCATCATCATCCACAGTCTCAATAGAATCCATGGACCCTCATGATTCAGGGCTTGAACCTGAAACTGGGTGAGAAATTTGATTGGTATTCAGAGTGGTACCCTGTTATGCCGGTGTGTGATTTGGATAAGAGGGTGCCGCATGCAAAGAGAGTGATGGGGCTTGATTTGGCGGTGTAGTGGGATAAATGATTCCTGCCCTCATCGGTTGGCTCCACTGTCTGAAGGGAGAATTGATCAATGGAGGAGACAGTAATGCGTGGACCATGGTTGGTGTTTCAGTGGCTCCGGTGACTGCAAATTCATTCCTCAGGCACCTCCAGATGGAGAGCCGGTAATCAGTTCTGTATGGAAAATTTACACTTTGGGGAGGCAGAATCTCCTTACCAGAATCTCCGGCGAGGCAGTGTTGTTTAGGACGCGGAGATGATGCCGAGGTCTTATCAAAGGAAAAAAAAAAGAAAAAAAAAAAGAGTAATCCACATTAGGCAGCTAATGAAGTTGAAGTGAAATTTATTGATGCAGCTTTTTAAAGTACAACAATCCACACAATACATTGGTTTTGCACTCCATCTACTTGAATTATAACTCACACACACAAAACAAAAAGAAGAAAACAGAGAAACGTAGGCAAAAGAAATACACAGCCAAAGGCTACCACCAACAGATAAACATTCATCTTCACTCGATCCTCCTCACCCTTCAGCTCATTGACACCCTGATTCGGTAAGTCCTCATCAACCACTTACGTATTTTTGCAAAAACAATGTTTCCAATCACCACACCAAGAAGGAATCCACATCCATAACCCAACGCCACCGCTTTTCAGCCAAATTCAACTAGCAATCCAAAGTCTTCATTTCCTTTAGAAGGTGAAGATAGTGGAGGTGAGGCCTTTGGGTTGTCACATTTCCTCGACAGTGGCAATCCACACAGGCCTGAATTCCCATCAAATGAGCTGTTATCAAATGTATCAAATTGCTGGCCTTTTGGGATAGGTCCTATCAAATGGTTGTGAGACACATTGAAGACTTTAAGAAAATTAAGCTGTGTTAGCTGCAGGGGAATGCTTCCTGTGAGCTTGTTGTGAGAAAGGTCCATAGCTTCAAGATTCATAAGTTTTCCCAATGCTGGTGGGATTGAACTGACAAGATTGTTATTGGAAATATTAAGCAGTCGAATTCCCTTTAAACTCCTTACTACTTCTGGAATCTCTCCCTCAAATTTGTTGCAAGAAAAATCAATGGCAGAGAAAACCTCTAAAATTTTTGCATATTCCATCCTCACTCCTTTGTTTGTCATTGTCATTGTCATTGAGTAATGATATGGATGGGCAAAGGCGATGTTATGAACCATAGAATAGTGATATGCTAGCTGGTATGTTGTTTTCTCCTTAACTACATCTGCCATAGCATTCCACCTCTTGAGGTATTTTGTTGGTAAAAGGCCAATAAATCCATTATGAGAAAGATCAATGATTTGAAGACTAGAGAACCAGGAATCCAACTTTGGAACATTGATTGCACCATAGAACCTATTAAATCGCAAAATGAGAATCGTTAAACTGGGAAGAGTTCCCAACCAAGAAGGGAAGGTATCTCTGATATGATTGTTACCAAGATCAAGAAACTCCAGCATTCTACAGTTGGTCAGTGATTTTGGTAGCTTTTCTTGCAAATTATTATGTCCTAGTTTAATCACCTTTAGATTGTTTCCAATTGCCCAAGTTGTAGGAATTGAACCTACGAAGTTGTTTTCTTGCAAATTCAAAACCAACAAGGACTTACTAAATTTGCTTATACATTGTGGAATCATTCCATTTAGGTTATTGTGAGAGATCAAGAACTTGGAGAGAAGTCCTACTACAAAATTCAAGAGGGATTTCTCCATTGAATTTATTTCTACAAACTAAAAAGAAATTGATGAAGAATGGAGGGATTGGTAGTGAAGCTTCAAGCATGTTAAAACTAAGGTCTAAAAGGTATAAAAGACTAAATGAAGGAAAGGAAATTAAAAATTTTTTAGTGTTTGCGAAGGAGTTACGAGAAAGGTCCAAATACCACAAACTTCTATTCAATTTACATATCCATTCTGGTATCTGGCCTACAATGTCATTGGAAGGAAGCTCAAGGTACTCTAATTGGTCTTGGTCATGCATGAAGCTTGGAAAATCTTTCAAATTACAAGAACCAATTCCTAGAGTTCTCAACTTTGCAGAAATGGTGTTGGTACTATTCCTAGTTTTGAATGTTAATGAAAAATTGTTAAAGGATAAGGATAAATGTTTCAAGTATTTGAGTCCAAGAAATGTGTCGATCTCAACTATACCAATGAAGCCATTACTATCAAGTGCCAAGTGCTGGAGCTTGGTAAGATTACCGAGAGAATGAGGTAATTAATAGAGATTCCAATCAGATCCCTTATTCTAGTAGTAGAAATTGGGGCTAGATTACTACCTTAAATTTGTTGACTGTTATGTGTAGTTACTTTCCTTCCTTGTAAATACAACTGTATATAAATAGATAATGCTACTGCACTCTCAATATTGAGAGAGTGAGTAAATTTCATAGAAGTTTTGTTAAACCTTTTTATGGTATCAAAGCACAGGAAATAATCTTCTGTGCATTTCTCCCTTCTACTCTCAATGGCCTCCTTGACAAATTCTACTTCCCTTACTATTACTACCTGTTTACACCATAAATTGCAAAATTTTAAATTAATGCCACGTGTAAAATTTTTATTGGCTGAAGGAGTTTTGAGCCATGTCAAATTCGGATCCTGGGCCCCATGACAGGTCAGCACATGTGTTGGCAAGATAAGAAAAATAAAGATAATGTTGAGTAATTATCTTTTGAAACAGAAAGAGATAATGGCAGTTGGCAAGATAGGGGAGGATCACATTTAAAAAGGAGATTTTATCTGATAAAGTCCAAGTGGCAAAATTTGAAAGGGGATTAGACTAGGTCAAAGGTATGGTGGTGGAAGGATTGGCTCATTCTCTCCTTCTGAGTGTGTTGGACTGCTTTCACCAAGCCCAATCTGTAAAGTCTGGACAGCCTTCCCAAGGTTTCTTTTTGGTGGCATGATTGCACTTTTTCTTGGGAAAAAGAACAACGGATCTGAAAACTGTAAGTAAGACACGATGAGGTCCCACTGGGCGTGCCAAAAAAGGATTGTTTCCTCAAAAATCCTCTAGTGGCCTC